GCCTGGTTGTGCCTGGTGGGGAGCTGAGTGATGGGCAGCTGTGCTGAGGAGTCCAGGCTTGGCATCCATGGTGAAAGAAGGGCAGGGACAGGATTTAGTTGGCTTCACCTCCCCTTAGCTGTGTCCATGTTCCTAGAACAGGCCTCTAATTGGATCATGCCAGTTTTTCAGCCGAGCGTAGCTAATCCTTTTCTGTCTCTCTCCTCCTCTCCTGCCCCAAAATAATGGAGGCTGGGGCTGGGCCCAGGATTGTGGGGACTTGTTTTGTGTCTGGGACACTGATTTTTTAGCCTCTGTTTAGGAAGATCTTGTCCAGCTTCTTTTTCTGAATGGCAGCAACTGGCAGAGCTCAGCTCCATCTCCCACTTGCATCCCTTCTCTTCCCAGCAAAGCTGTGTCAGGAGGGATCCCAGCGAGGAGCAGGGATGTGGGAGCTGCTGCCAGGTCAGTTCATTCTGCCAGACTGCCTGCCCTGGGCTTCCCAGTCCAAAAGGATCCAAGATAACCGTGAGAAATTCAGAATTCTGTGACATCCCCTGTGCAAGGGTGGGCAGGTAGCTCTGCCTGCTGCATGTGAGCAGTTCTGATAGCAGGGGTGTGTCAGGAAGGGCTGTGGAGTCAGGAGAAGCCTGTGGAGGGTGGGCAGGCACTGGATATGCACTTCCAGCACAAGAACTAGAAAGCACCAGGGGAAACTTCCCCTTGGAGGTGACAGCATCAAAAGAAATGAAAGAAGGTTGGTGCTGGCACTGATAGCTCAGCTGAGGAACTCCTCGCTGCAGGATGGTTTATACAATATCAGGCAATGTCACACTGATTAATGGCAGAGAAATCTGCTTAGAGATACTAAAGACATGAAAGCACTGCCTGACTCTGAATGAGACACAGGAGCTGGAATCTGAGAGGCTGTTTGGGGGAAAATGGTATGTTTGCTATTAATTCTCGTGCTGTTCCCAGATATCTCTTTTTGGCTGCTGTCAGGGAGAGCTACCCAGATGTTTGGGCTGCTCCTTATCCTTGTGTGTTTTCCTGGTGCTGTGTTCTGGTGGTAGCACTCTCTGGGGCAGCAGAGGGATTCCAGAGCTCTTTTGGAAAAACCAGCTGAATTTTAGCCCGTGTGGCTTTCCCTGCTGAGGCAGCTGGGATGATCCAGGCACTCCTGGCAGACAATGAGAGCCAACACAGATCTCCCTCTCCAAAACACTGCAGTCATTTGGGTGACCTCAATGCAGGCATGATCCTGCTAGCACTAAATGGAGCTGAAAAATATCTGTATTTCTGCTCAGCAGCAGCTATTTCCAGAGTGGGAACGAGGGAAGGAACACCACTGATGCTTCAGCTGGCACATGAGCCATGTAACCCTTCGTTCCCTCCTTCCCCAGGGCCTGGCAGGTCTCTCCAACATTCCACAATTAGCAAAGAGAGCAATCAGCTCTCTGTATTTTTTGGTGACTCCCTGGCAAATTTAGAATCATATTGGGATCTGCCTCACTCTAATGTGAGCAGGGAGCCCCTCACTCGAGATCAGCAGCATCACCCAGATCGGTGCCTCTGATAATTTATTTGTGAGGAATTTTGGAAGGAATTTGAGATGGAATTTTTGAGCTGATTTTTGATGATGTAGTTTATTTTTAAAATTTTTTTTTATGTAAGTAGGAAGGGTGAGTTTGGTTTACATTGTTATAGTATGGATTTAAAGGTCATTAGACCTTTAGTAATAAGATTTTTAATGAGTTATTGATTAATAAAACACTGTTAATAAGGATATTTATGTTTTTTGACTTAATTTTTTATTTTATGACCTTATGTTATAGTGTAAGTTTCTTTAGTTAATTATGTTATGGTACATAAACTTACAGTACAGTATGTAAATATTTTTGGCAACTACTTATTTTTTTGTACTTTAAACTTTAAAACTTTAAACTTTTTAAAATTTAGTTGAATGTGTTTTTGTTTAAAACTATAAATTTATATTTTTGGTTTCAGTACTTAAGTTTGGGGTTGTGGTTTGGTTTAGAGTTGGGTTTCATTAGTATTAGGGTTGGGGTTAGGTCTAGCCTTGGGATTAGGGTTGGAGTTGTGTTTAGGCTGGGTTATGTTAGGGTTGGGTTTTGTTTTTTTTTAGGTTTTAGTGTTTGTTTCATACTGAACTGTAAGGCTTTTTTTTAGGGTTAGGTTTGGAATTAGGGTTGGGCTTGGGTTTAGTCTTGGGGTTAGGTTTAGGGTTGCATTCAGGCTGATTTAAGATTGGGGGTTTTTGGTTCATTGCATCCTGGAGGGATTTACTGAGCTGCACAATTCCCCTACCAGCCCTGGGCCAGATCCAGAGCCAAAGCTGGGCTTTTTGAGGGCACCTGTGCTGGGATGTGCTTGGGAATTTATCAGCACTTGACTTCCAGGGTTGAATCTTTACTTTCCCAGCTGGAGGTTTTCTGCTGTGGTGCCAAAGTGCTGAGATGGCAGAAGGATCCAGCAGGAGCAGAGTGGGAGGAGCTCTCTGGGCAAGAGGAAGATGGGGAAGGGAATGCTTCAGTGAACTAATTCAAAGCTGGTTTTTAATTAAAAAAAAAAAAATGAAGAGAAAATGAGATAAAAGGGAAAGACAAGAAAAATCTCCTCAAGGCTGGACAGACCTATCATGCAAATAAGGATTTTAACTGGAAAATTAAAAAAAATATTACCAAGAAAGAGAAGAGAGGCAAGAAAGTAGCCAGCATAAAAATTAAGTTGCTGAGTCAGTCCTGGAAAGAGTTCAGAAGAGAACTCTTCTTTTTTTCCCCAAATAGATTTTTTCCCATAAATAATAGATGAAATAGGAACCAGTAACACAAAACCGCCGGAGTTTGTGAATGCTGAGTGCGCTTTCCCTCATTAAACCAATTTTTGAAGAGACATTTACAGGGAACACCCTGCCCCAGCAGCTGGGAATTTGCAGAGCACTTTGCAGCCACCTGTGGCTCGAGGGTTTGCTGAGTTCCCTTTGCCTGTGTGTCGCATGGGAGAGGGATAGTGTGGCATTCACATTCCCTGAAAAATCCCTTCACCTGGGATTTTTCTCCTGGGCAGTATCCTTTAATATAATATAGTATTATAAAGTAATAAATGAGCCTTCTGAGGACATGGAGTCAGATGCATCCTTCTTCCCTGCCCCAGGGCTTGCCATGAATTTATAATACTCGTGCCCTGTGGCTGGCAGGGCCTTTGTGCTGGGTGCTCCTCAGCATGGGGTGGAGTGGGATCTGGGATCTGTAGCATCAATCCCAACCAAGCCTGGGAAAGGCTGACCAAAGTCAAATTTCCCACTGGAAGCCCCAAATCTGTGTTTGGCAGCCAACAGCTGCAGGAGGGGTCCAACCTTGCCTGGGGCTGGGGCTGCCCAGCAGGTTTGTTTGGAATCTGCAGTTCCCTGTGCTTGCTGTGCTCTCTGGGGAAAGGACAGCTGAAGAAAAGGGTTCTGTTCCTCTCTGCCACATTGGGACTGCAGCAAGAAGGAAAACAGAACACTCACAAAAGCTACTGGCAACAAATCTATTTCCTGGAAGCTCACATAAAGCTCTTATTTTCTTTCTCTTCTCCTAGGGGGTGTCTGGGCTGAGGACTCAGCTCAGGGTGTCACTCCCTGGCAGCAGAGGGCCACTGGAGAGGTCCCATCCCTGGATACCTGTCCTGTGCTTGGGCTGCTCCCTTGTTTTTTAGCAAACAGAAACAACCATGCCCGGGTACCCCCCACTCCTCTGCTGCCTTTTGTGGAGTCACCTCCTGGGCTCTGTGAGGATCATCAGAGAGAATTCTCCAGTAATTTCACCTCTTCATTTGGGCAGGGTGGGCGGGTTGCAGCTCTGATTGTGTGATTATTAGAATGCACTGCAAGTCACAGCAGCAAATGTCTGAGTCTTGCTGTACAGCAGCTCCAAATGTCCTCTGCTGCTCAGCAGCCTTTTCCAAAGACATGTGGGATGTGTTAATATGCACATTAAAGCCAAGGGTCACAGTATCACACACAGCACTGCCCTTGGGGTGAAACTTCTTGTAGCTCATGCCAGAAGTTGGGATTTATGATGAACTCCCCCATGAGCAAAAGATTAATGCAAACCTTTCTGCCTTGGCCGGTGGTGGGAGTGTCTCTTGGATCTCAGCAGTCATACCTACCAAAAAATATCTTTGACTTAAAATAAATGCACAGATCACCTGTTTTCTTTTCCCCACTAGGAGAAGATGTAGTGGCTTAACAATTTTTGTAGTGCTGGATGAGACACCACAATGCCTTAAGCAACACCAGCTCTTGATCAGGCCTTTGGATGTACAACTGCAAAAAGAAACTCGTGCCCTTCCAGGCTTTTCTCCCTAATATAAATCACCCTCTATTTTTTTAATAATGAAAAAAATCCCCCAGAATATTACCTTTTAGCCATTTTGCTTTGGGGAGATAAATCTGAGTGGAAGACAATCCATCGAGGTGTGACATGAGCTATACTGCAGACACAAACCATCTGGGACTGTTTGTTATCCCAGGGTGTCCTGTTTGTGTCCAAGCTCCATGAGTTACTGGTACAGCACTGGCTGTGGAGGGGGTGAAGCCACTGCTGAAGACACAGCAAAAGCAATTTTCTTCCTGCTCCATCTGGGCAGTGAAGACAACTCACTTTAATCTTTTCTTTCCAAGCACTAATTAATCTTCTGATGAAAACAAGGACAATATTTGGCCTGGCATGGTGGGTGGTTACTCATGCAAATGAGTACTTTTGTTCCATCCACAGAGGACAGAACTGAGCCCCCAGCTCAGACCTGGGGCCAATGTCAATGCAATGACACAAAGGCACTGGCTCAGTGCAGAGGCACCTGGGCAGGTGTGAGGGCAAAAGCTGAATTCCAGCTGGGCCATTAGTGAGCGTTTTGCTGCAGCACTGAGCCAGCTGTGGATGATCTGCTTTGATAAACCCTTAACTCAGACACCCTTAAAGCCAAAGAAGCAATAAAGTGAGAGGCAGGCACTGGTGGTTAATGAAGTGAGCTCCAGGAAGGAGGAATGTGTGTCAGGCCAGAGGCCCCGAGGAGGCAGTGACACATTTACCTCAGGAGAAGCAGAGCTGGAGCCCAGGACCTGAGGACTCAGTAATTGAGAGTGTTTGAGCCCGCCTGGGGAGCTCTCCACAAATACAGTTGTCCACCTGGGTAGCTGAGGAGGATTAAAAATAGCCCAGCAAGATGTTGGCTTATCCCTGAGAGAACAGAATTAGTTGTCTGGAAAGACAGAGCATATTAGAGGAGGATGAAAGGTGGGTGAACACTGCTCTTTCTCTTCAGTTAAATTCCTGCCCTATCCCTGCAGGCTTTGGATGTAAGATCAGACCCTTTTTCTATTCAGCACTTACCCTCTCTAATGCAAAGTTAAGCACTGCCATCTATCCTCTGCCAGGATTTGAGAGCAGGACCCGGAGCTCACAGCCCTGCCCCAGCCCCTGAGCTCCTCTGCTGGGGCTTTTTGCAGATAAACTGAAGCTGAGCAGCTGAATCACTGAGCAGGAGCTTGGGCTGTAGTACTGAGGATACAGACCGATCTGGTTGTCTCATGGGCTGTAAAAATGTGGTCAGAGGTGTTTGACTGCTGTTTACTGTGGGCTTGCAGCTCTTCCAGCTGGGAATTTGGTAGGCAGGAGGAGCTTCCCTGATGTTGTGTCCCCCTGGGGGGCTGCTGAGCTGGTCTCTCTTTCCCCAGGCTGTTCAGCCTTGGTTTAATGGCTGCAGGGAACATTTCCCACCATTTCTCACAGTGAACATGCCCAAATTCCACCCACAAGTTCCTGCCCCACTCTGCCTTCTCAGCCTGAGCAACTCAAACCTCCCACTAGCAACCCACCAGACCTTGGTTCCCTTGGTATTCTCTGAGACACAACCATTCCTCTCCCTCCAGGGAATGCTTTTGTAAATATTTCTGTCTGTTCTGCAGCAATCATGGGGCTGGGTGATTTTTTTTTGTTGTTTTCTCACTTCTGTGCTCTTCTATTACCCCCGTTTTTAATTGTGACTCCTTGGTTTGCTGCCCCATTTCCCAATCTGTGCCAGTGGCCTCTGCGCAGATAATTCAGTCCACACAGAATGTTCCAGCAGGATCAGGCATGTTCATTCTGTACACAAATCTCATTTTCAGTGCACATGAACCTGTTGAGTGCTGAGCCTTGGATCCAGTATGACAGCTCAGTCTGTAACAAGTGGCTCATTCTAAATTGGGATAATCATTAATAAACACCCATTAAAGATTAGATTAAACTATGATTCCTTCCTTTGCTGATCTGTCATTGTTTCTTATTTAGTAGCTGCATTCAGGAATATTCACACATGATTGCTTATGGTGTTTTAATTGTCTTTGAAATGTTGTTTCACAGCTCACTTTGGAACCTGGGTAAAGTGTGCATGGGATCCTGGAAATCACTGCATCTAATGAGAGTCTGGCTGCTGCTGCAGAGTTATCTTTGCTTCTCTTTGACTCTTTAATTGCTGGTAATAGCCAAACTTGGTTTCCTGCTGGCTGGGTCTGAAGTCCTTCATCTTGTTTGGAGCAATGAGAAATCACCAGGATAAAGCTGTGCTGTTAATATCCAAGGAATATGGCTAACCAGCTGCCATCAATCTTCATGCAAACTAGACATTCAGCCTTAAACTGCATCATCCTTAACGGAGTGATGCAGTTAAGCAAGCATCAAGTGGCCCCAGGGCAAAGATGTTTCAGTTTCATTGAGCTTTTTTTTTTTGATCTGGCAAGAGCCAGGTCTTGGGTTTTGGTAATCTGAGTCCTCCAGAAGGTGATGCTGCAGGGGATGGGGTCACACACCTGAGAGAGCTGCCCATGGCCTTGTGCCAGGCTGGCCTTGGCACCAAGCACCCCAGAGGAGCTGGGTGAGGAATTCTGCTCTTCCTGGCCTTCCCCTGGCTCTGCACAGAGGTTTAGCAGCTCCAGGGATGGTTTCCTGTGGTTCCTGGCACACACAGGAGAGGTTCTGGCCTTGATGCTTTGATGGAGGGCTTGGCACTCTCTGCTCTGCTCAGAGCAGCTTGGCTGGTGTTGGCAGTACAAACAGGGCCCTTTCTCCCTGCAGGAGGGTAATAACTAACCAGGGATCCCTCTGAGCAGCCTGGGGAGAGAAATCAATCAGTGGAAATCCCAGCTGAAGCACAGAAGAGAGGATCTAAATTTAGTGCAGGCTGCCTGGGGCTCCTGAGGTTTGTGGCTGCTGGGGCAGTTGCTCGAAAGCTGAGCCTGCATCCAAAGGCTGCAGGCAATGCAGGAGAGCAACACACTCTGCTGTACTTCCAGGTACCTCTCCTGAGTCTTTGGGATCATGGATTTGTTTGGTAGTTGTTTAAAAAAAAAAACCCCAAAAACCAGTTGTAGATACAAGGGAAGAGCAAGGGTTTGTGCCTCACAGGGGCTGCAGTCTGCACAGCGACATCAAACAAGGGCCTGGAGGAACAAAGCTCTTCTTATCCTCCCTTCACAGCTGGGTAACTGAATTCTGTGAGATGAAGTGATTTGCCTGTGGTTGTGTGGGAAGTGGGGAGGCCAGGAATGGAGCTGGGGTCTCGGGGGATCCGAGTTCACAACCGGTTTCTCTCTGCAGCTCCAGACAAACCCCGTGATTTCTCAGTGACCTGTTGTTTTGCCCTTGGCATTCCCCAGCAGAAGAGTCAGCAGGTTGGCATCTCCACTGGAAACAAGTCAGTACAGCTCCTGCTTGGGACTGAGAATGTTGAGTCTTTTAAAGGAAAAAAATAAAATCCACACTTCCTTTAGACACTGCTTGTTACTTTTTCTCAAGAGACAATTTGTGGATGCTACACTTAGGCCTGGAAGCAAACTAGAAACCTTGCTAAGTCTCCAAACTTCAAATTACAGCAGAACACGTTCCTGGGGCTGATAAAAGCTGCCAAGGACTCTCAGTTTGGAAAGCCAGCAGCACTGAAAATTGAATTCCTGGGGAAGAGAAACTGTGACCAGAGGAAATTGCTGCTGCTCACTGAGGATGGAATGGCTCTTGCTGTAACCTGAATTTGGTGCCATCAACCCCAACATCAGCACTAGGACCAAACTCCTGCAGGTTTTGCTCACTGATTTCAAAGCAATCCTTCCTTCAGTGCCCATGGAGTGGTGGAAAGGACTCCAGATGAGTGAGAGGCACAAAGAAAAAGTACTTGCAGTGATCTACTTGCCCATTAAATGTTCTCTGGAAGGGGTCATTGTTAATGTTGCTGCTTCCCATCTAAACAGGAACACAGAGCCCTCCTTGACAGGGAGTTTAGCAGAGCTGAAGGGATTAGGGGGTGTTACAATATCTCACTTCTAAAAAGTTAATGTATTAGGGGAGTGTGAGTCTAGACACGTATTGCAAGACTGATTTAGGATCTTAAAGTGGATTCTGCCTTTCATTCTGGCTTTTATTAAAAGCTTTGTAGTACATCTTTAAAGAGCCACTAAAGCCACAGTGAAAACATAAAGGAGGAAATAATAGAAGCAGAAAGATTTTTTTTTTTAAAAATGGATTTCTTCCCCCATTTTCTCTCTTGCCCCTACTCAGAGTTGAAAGCCATTTGCATAAAAACATGATGTTCATTTTTTTTCCTTTAAAAACACAACTCACTTCCTCCTAACTCTCTTCCCCTGAAAGCTGGGGGTCACCGTGCAAGATTAATGCCAGACTGTGGAGCAGCAGAATGCCTCAAATTCAGAAGTTCATCCAAACTTCCTCCAGCTGCAGAGTGGTTGAGATAGGAGCAAGCTGGGGGAATTTGAGACAAGGTAATCGGTCCTCTGAAGGAGTTGGAGTAGCTGCCAAAAGATGATGGACAAGGATGCTGTGTAGATTTATGGAGGGTGTGGGTTTTGCTGCAGTTGGTGAGAAAATACCTATAGGAACACAGATCTGCAGAACCTTGGAGAACACAGTTATTTGTGTGGGCAGGTCCAGCTAAACATGCTGAATTAGAGTTATTTCACCTCTAATTTTGGAAAGAAAAATAGCCTGGCACCCAACTTGAGGGATACCTGAGGTCTGCTTTTGCAGGCAAAACCATCCTGAGATGGAAGAACATCTGCTGTTCATTTTTATTTTATCTTTTTTTTCTCCCAGTCTCTTAACTTCTTAGAGTCCTTTCAACTCCCAGGCACCCAAACCACTGAAAGCAGGACTGCCTGGCTTCAGGTGAGGAGGGAACAGCAGGAACAGATGGATTCCTCAGCACCAGAGCCTGGTTTCCATGCCAATCGAGCCTGCTGACAGAGAACAAGGAGTCAAACTCTGCTGACAAAAGATGTGGGAGCTGCTGGCTGAAAATTTCCCGAGGCTCTGGTGGTTCCATACCAGGTGGCAGCCACACGGAGCTGCTTTCTGTTCAGGAGGGATTCTGTGTTTTAAACACAGCCTAAGTCCCTGAACAAAGTTCCTAGCAGCTCTGGTGGAATGCAAATGCGTTGCTGTTATCCACACTTTGTACTCAGCTCACCTGCCCCCAAAGAGGAGGAGGAAGGCACCAAAATTTGCATATAAATGAGGTCAGATTGGGTTCCTCTGTAGTCATTAAGGTGGGCTTATTATCCTGTTTGTTCTTAGCAAAGCTGCTCGCCATCTCTGCTCCACAGCTGCTGCCAGCCCGGTCTGCCGTGGAGACGTGGAGGGGCTCACTGCTGGTCTGGGAGTCAGAAAGAGTGAGTTGGAGAAGAGAAGCTGGTAAGAGTCAGCTTTGCCTCTGAAAGGAGTTCTACCAAGGCTGTGGACATAAAAACCGAGGAGAAGAGAAGATAAAAGAGGGCTCTGCAGTTGAATTGTGGTGGAAAGCAGTGGTGGAGACCACCTTGCACCAATGAACATTATGTTGATTTATTGTGGCCAATTAATAGTCATAAACTTTGTGAGAGGGTATAAAAAGACAGCATGCTGCTAAAATTAAAAAGAAAAGAGAAGCCTTCTCAAATCCATGGTGTTCTTCTGTTTGGTGTGAGCATCTCCACAAGGACATGGGGAGAAGTTCCAAGGTGCAGCACCTGCCCTGCCTCTCCTCCGGGGCTCTCAGGAGGGATGGGGAGAGAGCCCCTGCAGCTTCTGCTTCCACTCCAGAGCTCAGCCACACCTGGGGGTGGCATCACACTGGTGATGCTTCCCCAGGAGGGTTTGCAGAGAGGGAAACCCAGGCACAGAGTGAAGGAAAAGCTGCTGTTTTGGCAGAGCAGAGCAGGGCTGACACCCACTGCCATGCACAGAAGCTGCTCCTTGCTTTCATGGTGGAGTTCTCCCTTTCCTGAGCTGCAGCTGGAGGCCAGGCAGCCACTGAGGCTCAATCAAACACCCCCTTTCTTCACTCAGGCCTCAGTAGATCTGTACCAGTTCTAAGAATTTTGAAATGATTTCAACTTCCCACCAGCCTAGTATGAGGTGCAGGATAAAATGCTGCTGAGTGGAGGATTTATATCATTTTACCCTCTGGAGGGGGTCCAGGAGTCAGCTGGATCAGTCTGCTAAAAGGCAGTTAAAAGACTTTGAGTGGTTTTCTGTCTTGCTTTCTCTTTGGAACAATCCCTGGAAATATCCAAATGCTCTATTAACAGCATTTCAGAGTGTTTAGTGCTCAGAAATTACAGGTGACTCTGCTTTGCTCTGACAAATGCAGTGGGAGTGTGGGTCCTCCCCTCCTGAATTATTCACACCAAAAAGTAGTTTGAAGCCAAACCTCAAAGTTCCCAGATTTGTTTTGATTTTTTACAAAATGCCTCCAATCAGCAGGCTTCTCTTAAAACATGGAATTTTCATGAAAATCAAGTTGTCTTGTTTAGAAGGAATAGTATTTTCTGTCAGCAAAGGTGTTGCAGGAAATATAACAGAACTCATGGGCACAGCAGGATTAGAACAAAAATGTATAGAAAGAGAGGAAACACATTCAAATATTTCTGCCCGGGGCTATTAAAACTTTTGAACAGAATTTGTGTCCTTCTAATTGACACCCTTCAAAACCTGTACCTGCAGCAAAGGGCAGAGCAAGAGAGCATCACCCCTGCATGCTGCCTGTGCCAGGGAGCTGTGTCAGACTGGAGTGAAACTGTGCCTGCAAAGTGTCTGCTCCTCTCAATAAAATATGTGCTTTCATTTCAGCAAGGGATCACAGCACAAAGTGCTAAGTGCTGTAAACACTTTGCAGCACGACATTTCAGGAGCTGAAAACTGACTGCTTAGGTGGCTGCAGTTGATAAAAAGCAAATGGAAAAGCAGCTGAGCTCAGCCATGGTGAGATTGTGCTTTCTGTGGAGTTTTGGGCTCGGATCCCTCTGGCTGCCCACTGAGGGAGGGGTGGCTGCAGCTCAGGAGCTGCTGGGAGTTGTGGCTCTGAGTTAAGAGCCCTCTTTGAGCTCAGTCCTAGGCTTGGGGTCTCTCATCAGCCTGAAGTCTGATGAATTTCTTCTGTTCATCATGGAATAATGTGAGTTTAAGCCATACTTACTATGTGTAGTTTATGTGGCTTGGCTGAAGCAGGGTGACAGATTGTTCATCTCCACATCTTGCATGTCCAACCCTTCAGAGGATCCCATCATTCCACACCTTTCAGTGGAGGTGATTTTTGTTCCTCCCTGGACAGCTGCAGCACTGCCTCCTGTTCTCTCTTTGCTCTTATCCCAGTGTCAGGAAAATTAATCCATTGCTTGTAAAGACAAATCTGCTATTCCTCTCACCAACAGTATTTTTCCTGCTCGTTGCCTCTGGGTCCTTTCCAAACATCACTTTCCTCCAAAAGAGAACAAGAGGGGAATGAACTCCCTTGTCCTGTCCCTTGGAGGTGCCAGGGAGGAGAATCTGCCCTAAAACTCCTCCCTGGGTGCCTGCTGTGGGGGCACAGCCAGAGACAGGGAGTGAAGTGGTTAAACAGCAGAAGGTTCTGGCAGGCAGTGGGGAAAATGTGGCTGATTCTCACCCTAAGTTGGAGTGCTAAAACTACCAGCAAATACTTCAATAAATAGCAAGCTCATAAATAACTTGCAACATTACACTTCATAATAAAGCAGTGACAAATGTTACATCTCTCTCCAGCGTGGATTAATGGTAATGGGGGTGGGAAGAAGGAGTGATGTCTGTGAGGTGGTATTAAAAATCACTTACATTTCACAGGTTCCCATAAAAGGGAGGCTTGTGCAAAACAATTAATCATGCATTATAAATGCAGCTTTTATTAAAGAAAAGCAAAAGCATAAATACAGCCAAGCCCTGAGGCACTTGTTCCTTGCAATAGTTAGTAAGTGTTTGGAAATATGAGCCAACACTTGGGACCCAGTTTAGCTGTGTTGTTATTGCTCTAAGAAAAGCTGGGATGCAGACGTGGCTTTGCTGCCTCATTTTTGTCTTTTTTACAGCCTGGCATAGACTGCTCTGGATATCTACAGCTTTTCCTTTGCCTGGCAGTGCTTGAGGTCTAAGAACAGCCCAGCCAGGTCCTCGCAAGGATTTGTCCTGGAGATGACCCCTGCAGAGCAGAGTTATGCTACCCCTACAAGACCAAAACCTTGGTTTAAATTAAAAACAACTGCCAGTGCCCCACCAAGGCAGCAGAAAGCATAAAGAGGAGGAAAAAGCTGTTTTTCCTAAGTGTTCCCCATGGAGAGGTGTCCCAGTGGTTTCCCCATTGCATCAGGAAAGGGGAGTTTGTTTTTTAGAGCTGTGTTGCAGTTCTGCTCTCCCAAATCCTAGGCCTGAGGAATGGGAACTTTGGGGGTCTTTTTTTATTCCCCTTGAGTTGATCTGCTCTTTCAAGTTTAAGTCTGAGCATTGAAAGGGGGAAGTGGCAGAACCAGAAGGTGATGCAAGAAGAACATTAAGGGGCAGGGGGATTTTATGACAGCACAGCAAGACAGATGATTTATTTTGTCCTTTGAGCACTTTCTCTTGAAGGCTGCTAAAGCCCATTAAAGCTTCCATGTGAAGCTGTGGTGAGATTCACTCCCTGGAAAGGACAGAGGTTTTACCATGGGCAGCCAGGAGTGGGGATGGCTCTGCTTTCATTAGCAGAGCAGTTATCTGAGCTCAAAGGGCTCCTGCTAAATTAGCAGGGGCCCTTGTTGCAATTAAATGCTCCTGTTTTTAACCACACTCACTGTGGCTCATTTGATTTTTGGGGAGAGCCAGAAGGCCGCATCCAGGATCCCAGCTGTCAAACAGCAGCAGGTACCACAGGGATTTAGGAATCTGCACAGCCACCAGCCCTCCCCAGCTCCACCTGTGCAAGGCCTTTCCTTGGGTTTCTCTCATGTTCAGTGCCTGAAGTTCACCCCAGACAAAACCAACGTGTGGAGCTGGGATTCAGGGGGTTCAGCAAGACCTTTCCAGAGTGTGTTTTCCTGCTTGTGCAATGCTGCTTTTCTCCACGTGGGAGTTGGGAATTACCATCCCAGCTCATCTGTGTGCTTTGCAGCCTCTGAATTGGTTCTCCTGGTCCAGGATTATATGGAGTGGAATAAATACTGGGTAGGTTGCAAAAAAACCACCCCTTTGTCAGTTTGGTGGCAGCCCAGGAAATAACATCCATTCTGGAAAAGCATAAATCCTGGTTAAATCCTCCCACCCTGCTCAGATCCATCCTTTTGGCTGGCATGTCATGGGTCCTCCAGCCAGAGAGCCTGGAGAGCAGCCAGGGGTGCTGCCCACCCTCCCCCTGCTCCCTCCTGTGCCTGTGACTGCTCCAAGGTAGGTGGGACCTTCCAGGGGTGTTTTGACAGAGCAGCTGAGCTGTCCTGAGCTGTCACCCAGGCTCTTAAATATTTAATTTATCCATCACTTGAGGACTGGCTGTGATCAAACGGACAAAGGAGCTGCTGTTCAGTGCTGCTTGTTAATCAGAGCAGCTCTGCTGAGCAGCTCTGACAAGATCTTGAAAGGATTGTTTTAATTTCCATGGAGGTGCTCAGATGTGTCACCCTGGAAAAAGGACACCTGTCAGCTGAGCAGAACCTCCTCCTCTGGCAGTCCCCAGAGACCAGAGCTCACCTGGCCTGGCAGTGGGGATGCCACAAAATTTGGGCCTTTTGCTGGCTGCTGGAAATGGAGCAAAGCCTTGGAAACTGGGTCACCCTTGAATGATTCTGGTGAAGAGGAATGGGCAAGGAATTCCTGCATCCCCCAAGGATAAACCTGATGGTTCCCCCTTTCATTTGGAGACAAACCACGATCTATAATGAGAAGGCAACTATCACTTAATGCTCAAGGAGAATGAACTTCCAGCAGTGAAACTGGATATTGGTTTTCTTGTTCTCATTGAGTGCAGGGCACCACAGAACCACTCTGTTCTCTGTATCTTCTCCATTCCCTTGCATCTGCAGCCAAATCTCAG